AGCATTTTAATTTTCTCAGCCTCGTGGGCTATTTAACTCACTGAGCCACTGACCAAGGCTCTGTCTTTTCAACCCTCAGGAAGACAGTTGTGGTAACAAGTGAGTCAAATATATTCGTACATCGAGCTTATCTCAACCTCCTGGAAAGACCAGGGCACCGAGCGTGCTCCTAAATGTAGCCACGCTACTGTACACACGACAATGTGCTCACGTTTTGTGGTTGTACGCTGAGCCTCTTTGAAACAGCTGTCCGCAAATAGAAAATGTGAGCATGAACTTCAACTTACTCTGTGGTTGAGACCTTAGTTGATGGCCAGTGCTGAATATAACTATTCTAAATGAGTTTTCCTCACCGTGTCTGAGAGTTTTGGTCACATTAAGCCTTTCGGTTGGCAGGTCCAAATTTACTTGTCTAATGTTTTCACAAACTTGGTAAAATCTCAATCACAAGAGTTTAAATGGTTGTCTGTATACAGGCTGTCTTTTTGTCTCCATATGATGAGGCGAGTGGATGAGAGGGAACGTTTGTGTCCTGCTTGAAAAGTAAAAGCACATGAGGTGAGCTTTCTGAACAAACTCCTCGTGTGGCTGCTGGTTACACTCGAATAGCATGGACAGGTAGTTCAAAATGACTGCAAGCAAGGCTTTGTTTAAACGAGCACAGGATTTGGATGAGGTGGTCAGGGTGGTCTGGAGAGAATATATAGACAAGAAAAAGATGTTTTCTTTCTTTTTCTTGTCTTTTTAAACCAAACTGAACCCTACAGCTTTAGAGGGACATTTCCATATACATCATGTCTTTGTCAGTGTGTCTATTTGGACCATTCATAGAAACATAACATCGTTTCTTCTAAAACAGTAGTTTAGAAAGAACAGCTTAGACAAAACTGACATTAACGTGTTTAAAAGTCTGTTGGCACTTCAGATACCACCAGGTTTTTATGGCAGCCTGGGAAAGGGAAGAACTGTTACAATGATCATGAATGTTACAGTGATCATGAATGTTACAGTGTAACACTGTAACACTGGCTGTGAACTGTTCGCTGTTGAAGGAAGTGGATTCACTGTGTTTGTGGCCCTTCTTCAGTCTGACCACACTACACTATAAAAAAAGACGACATGTACACAACATGCAGTAACACACAGACATGCATCATATTTAATTTTGATAAAAACATACTCACACTTGCAGCCCTCTGTTGACCTAATGAAGTTTGAATGCACCAGCTTATGAAAGAACCGCCTGCACAGTGTAAGCACTGCAGTGCAGTCTTACTAGACCTGAGCTACCAGAGGACGACTGACGTGTCTCTCCTGCAGCTCGGGTAGTTTGCATTGTGT